CTAATTGTTATAACGAGTATAACAAAGTTTAAGGATTTAAGTCTTAAGTGTCAAGCTTGACGTGCTCTTGGCTGTGTACTTAACAAAAATTTTATGATAAATAAGGAGCATTGAAACAAAAACCGATAAGTCACATTTTGATTTATTCTTATTTTTCAATGCCGAACAGTAGTTTTTGTATGTGTCTCCCTGAATAAATTTATCCAACCTAAATCCTCCTTCAAAATACGTTTGTACAGGTCTGCTGAATACAATGCGACAAATCCATTCAAAGAGACTAGACAAAGTTAGAATCGAAATTTATCGGTTTATCTGACGATATAAATTATTTATATACGTGTAAATTTCACATAAATAGGTAAAAATAGAAACGGAAAATTAAAATTGTTTATACGGTGAGTTGCTTTTATTATGCGATTTAAAAAATGTTTACTGACTAATGCTACCATGAATGTTGGGTGGGATACATAAATAAAACATTAAAATTCATTTTCATTACCTTATGCATAAATGTAGCATGTACTGGTGGCAGCTCTAACACTTCTCTACGCGTCTGCAAAAGTGTCCTTCTCATATTTATCAATATCATATCGATTACCTTGTTACCATTCTCCGCTAAGCAATTGACCATGTCACTGAAAATAAAATATAACAAACTGTTAAATGACAAAATATAATGAAGTTAATACAATGTTGTTCGATGTTCATTTATTTTTGTGAAATTGCTCCACTAGTTTGTTATAATTATTAATACAAATATCAAACACTATGAAAAATTCCTTCGATCAGACAGGACTCGAACTTGCGTTTGTGCCATGCCAGGGCAACATTATTCGGCGATAATATTCAATACAATCAATAATACAATTTATGAAGCGACATCTCTTGTCAACCTCTGCAGGGCTAGCGCGTAAGGGCGCGACTTGCGCGAGAGCAACATATAGTGCGAGATATCTATGCGAGGACTGCTATTCTTGTATGTATTGTATCTCGCACTTTATATTATCACTCTTTATATTTTATGTCGCCCTCGCGCAAGTCGCAACCTGTCATACTAGCCCTAGAGGTAGTTGTAAAGTTTGAGTGAGAAAAACTTTCATAGATTTCTCACAGATAGGCCTAGGGCAAAAAACCCATTAAAACCAAAAACAAAAATATGTACCACACGAATAACAAGATTCGTAAGATATGCGGACTCGATCTGTACCTCAGTTGGTAGAGCGCTTCGAGTTCTATGAAGGAATTTTTCTGTGTTCGATCTTTGTATATTATCACATACATACATAATAATATAATTATCTTAGCTTATGTAGTAAAATACTATCAGCATACATGAGACGTGCGAGATAAATTTCCTATAAAAATAACAAAAAGCAACTTTTAGTTAAGAGACTAGACTTGTTTGGTAGAAGGTTAATGGCATATTCAAATGTAACGTTGTATGCTTACCTATAAGCCTCCATCAAACTGGGATTACAGCACATGACTTCTGACACACTAGTCGCTTGCCGGAGAACCTGAACCAGATGATGTTGAAGTTTCTGCCTTAATAGGGCATATAAAGGTAAAGATATAGCGGCAGTGAGCGGTAAGTCATCTGGAAAAAAAAACAGAACCAATTAGTGATCCCGTGGTAGAGAAAAATTGTTTTTGTGCTGTCTAACCAATGTTTGAAAATTTAAACTGTTCTTCCACAATGCCTAAACTCGCCTTAGATTTTTGCTTTAGATAGGTAGGTATTATGCCTTCAGGATGTTTTCTTCGTAAGCGACATAGAGTTTAATTTAACGAGTATAAATGCACAAATGGTACCTAATGGTTGTAACTATAACGAGATTTTGTTCCTACACCCAATAAATATGCATCAATTACATGAAAAGTTAATGTGAATAAAAAAAGATCTATGGTCTGGTACCTTAACCGTGAACTGACACGTAAGGACGCACCCTCACCGGGAGCATTCGCCTGTACTAATATAACAATCCAAGATGCGATTTCGTACATTACATTACAATACTACCTCACTGGCCGAAGAACATTTCGCCTGTAATGTAACATCCAAGATTCGATTTTGAGCATTACATTACAACACAGCGTCACTGACTGAGGAGCAAAATGTAAAAATATAATTCGATTTTGAGCATTCATAGGCACTCGCAGGCCTAACCTAACGTAACTCAAGCAAAGGCTTCAAAATATTTCCACTATATCTGCTGGAATCGCAGCCTTTCTATAATGTTGCAAATGGTATCATCACATCAAGCTGCGCATTTTAATGCTTAATGTAATGTTAATGTAAAGCTCGAATCTGAACTGACTGTTACATTACAGGCGAATACTCCCGGTGAGTGAAATGTTCAGAATTAACAGATGTGTTATAAATATTCATTGTTTACCAGCTTCAGTTTGAGATGGTTGCACTTGTTATCTAAATTGTATGTTACTTGCCACAGTTGTTAAGATAATGTATGTAATATTCAGTACCATTTGCATGTCACAATTTTAAAGGTATCAAATAAACTGTGACAAAAATTTGTGTTTGTAACTTTTTTATATTCATTGTGTTGTTATATATACAAATATTACAGACCTATGTGCTTAGCTAATTGCTCTGTTGTTATAAATTTATATCCTCCATTTTTTTGAGGGGAAGGCCATGATAACTGAAACAGAACAGATAGATAGCATAAGCTTCAAACAGGTGTCACAATTAAACGACAATTAAGACAACCTCAGTGGCTTAATGGTTTACATTGCAGGCGCTACACGCAAAATAGGCGTCAAATGGCGGCCATCAGCCTGATATACTCAGTACCAAGTACATGTGGGGGCGCTGGGTGCGGAGGTCCCGGGTCCGGAACCCGGTAGGAACAATTTGAGAAATGCACTTTTCTAAATTGGTTCTGGTTTGCGTGTTTTGGGATGTGCCCCAGAATTCCATTGCTCTGGTACTCATAGAACAGGGAACTTCCTAGTTTGAAACCAGCCAATTGGTGTAGTTCTCTGACACATTAAATTATATTAATTACAGTTTAATAAGAAATAACATTTTTTGACATGTTGTAAGTCATAACAAAGTTACATTGTAGAATGCCAAAACATTAAAATACAGAAAGTTAATGGTTATTTCCTACACTCTGCTTCCTATAACTAGTGTTGCCCAAAAGTAGTCTTGGTCTTGCAGTCTTGGTCTTGGTCTTGCAGTTTTGCAAGACCGAGACCACTTAATTGAAGCAAGACCAAGACCAAGAGTGACCCTGCAAGATTTGTGCAAGAACAAGACCGAGTCTGCGAGAGTATTGCGGTCTCTCAATTATGTCAAACGAGTGTTATGTCCTTACGAATTGTAGGTATGCCTAAAATTATAACCTACCAATATTGTCGTAAAATTGAAACTGTAATCGAGTACATATAGTAAACAGTGTTTGCAGTCAATATGATGCTTTATCTCTTTTATGCGAAAGAGCGCTAAATATTTGTTAATTTGCCGACAAAGACACCGCCCTCCGCGCCGCGCTTATAAGACGGTACGGCACGTGTCGCGCGCGGCACCTTTGACATCGCTCAAAGCGACCGCGTTTTTGTAAAAAGACGCCGAAATTCCAAAGAGTAAAATTAATTCAGAGGCGCTTGGATTGTAGTCAAACATCTTGGTTTGGTCATCGCGAAGGATCGATGGGTTATATTATTATAATTTACTATAGTTGTAATAATCGTAAATATTATTATAGTGATCTTATATTGGACTGTATAAATATTAAGTATACAGTTTATAGCACAAAACAAAACTACGTGTTATATGCGCTATTACCTACCTACTTACTTTATTTAATAACTTTTGTACATAAACAAATTATTTCATTGATTGAATACTAATTTCTACAGAATTCCATGTAAAAGGTTTACTACCTACTGTTTACTGTACTTGTGTATATTTTCAATCAAAAGAGGCATACAGTACACGTAATGATTTATGTACATTTTGGTAAAGTGCCTTGAATTGTTACGTAGGTACAACAACTTGCAAAAAAAAATCTTTTCTGTTTTTAATCTTCAAATGAATCATTATTTTTATCAAAGGTGCCGAATTTTTCTTTACCAATTTTTCGGCATGTGCCTATAAATAGGAAATTTTATATGAAATTAGTTTATTTGCAATTAAGCTTCGTTACGAGTCGGACCAGTAATTATTTTTGACATGAGCGACGAAGATTCTAGTCAGAGTAGTGAGAGTTGTGTTGCATCTAGGTGCTCTAAAAGCAAATTTGATGAGTATTTCGAAATAATTCCTGAATCTGAAATGGCTCTCTGCAAGTTGTGCCCAATTTCTAAAAAGAAAAAAGTTAAAATAAAAATGAAAAACAGAAACACTTCGGGTTTAAGGAAGCATCTACTGTCTTGTCACGAAAAGGAATCGCAAAAACTTATACCTATAAGAAAACCGACAACAATTAGAGATATTTCAAGTTTTTTTAATACCACTGGAAGAAGTGAACAGGTAAGATAATATTTAACATAATACCTCCTTAATATTTTTTATAATTTACATACTTATAGTTAGTGTCAATCGTTTTTTCATGAGAAGTAAACAAACCGATTAGATTGGAATTCTTAATACGATTTCTCTAGGCTATACCTACAAAGTTTGAGGAAATTAAAATTCAGTAAATATCTAACTTTTAGTAAGAAAATAGCTTTCTCTAGTTTCTAACCAATTTATTATTTTTGCGAAATGCACTTACTAAGGTACAATTTTAAAAAGCGAGATATGTTGTGTGTTAAATTAGAATTTAAATTATTTTTATAGGTACTAATCCAAGTCTTGTTTTTTGTTTGTGTATTTGGCGGCAATATTTTTTAAATAGAAACTTGTAAAAATAATCTTGTCACCAAAATTCAGGTACGTACTTATTTATTGAGTTAAGTTAGTAGGGCACATAATTAGATTGGTAGAAAAGTTTTGACAAGTTCGGCGGTCACCTCAACATGTTTTTTGCCTATTGAAGTTCTGGGTTTGATTACAAGTCAAGGCAATTTTTTGTTTGTTTAATATAGTTAAAAATTCAATGTAATTAGTAGGTTCGTAAGTAGGTAGTGTTTGTAAAATGTTATATTAAGTATTAACACGTTTTGTTATCTTGTTTCAGTCAGTATCTGAAAGCCATAGTGATTTTATGACAGTTACAGTTGACTGGATTGCCAAGAAATATCTTCCCTTCTCGTTTTTCGATGACGAAGATATGTACTAGATACAAAAATATTTTCAAATAATACGCCCAAATTTGGTATTTCCTAAGAGATCGACAGTTCGAAGGATAGTTCAAGAGCGGTTTGAAGTACTGCATACGCATGTTAAGAGTAGACTACAAAAATACTCATGTAAAATGTCATTCACTATTGATGGATGGACGTCAATTGCTGGTAGGAGTTACTATGGGGTCACTATTCATTATATAGATAATGAATGGAAGTATCGATCTCTTGTCCTGGATTTTATTCCATCGTGTGGTGGACATACAAGGATGGATATTGCAAGGATTTTCCACAAATGTCTATTGGAATATACCTTAGCTGATAAAATTCAGGGTATCACAGTCGACAACGCAACTGCAAATACCAAATACATGTATGAACATGGAAAACTACTGCCACATTTTGATTCGGATAATCAACATTTTCGATGCATTGCTCACATCTTGAACCTAGGCGTACAAGATTTATTGAATAACTTAGCGTTAAATACAACTGACAGTCAAGAACAAGAACAGCAGTGTGAAGACGAAGAAGAGCAAGTTGAAGAATATGTGCCAAATATTTCTGACTTAAGTACGGCTATTACAAAATTACGCAGTATTTGTAGTAAAATAAAAAGAAGTGAGATGTTGAAGAGGAAGTTCCAGTCGGCTTGTGAAACAGTTGGTATGCCAACAAATCTGAGTCTCATACTGGACTGTCCAACAAGATGGAATTCCACACATGGTATGATTGGATTATGTTTAAAACTAAAACCCGGCATTAACATATTATGCACTTCTGTGTTTGATTTGAGTAATTTTGTAATATCAGAAATTGATTAGAAAATACTCGAAAAAATATATAAGTTTTTGATAAACTTTAAACTTCTAACAACGAAACTTCGTGGAGAAAAATATGTAACATTACCGCTAGTGATTGTATCGTTCAATCTTCCGCTTGATAAAATTGAAGCTATGATAAAACAATTAGACGACAAACCTAATCGAACCAAAGTAGGTGAGAGGCTCATTTTGGCTTTCCAAGCCGCCCAAAATAAAATGCTTAAGCATTATATAGGATGACCAACTGGATTTACTGTACCACCTTAATTTTAGATCTAAGGCACAAATCTCAGACTTTCGATATGACACTATGGGGACAACAACTAAAATCTGAAAGCCTGCGTAAATTTGAAGAACTTGACAAGGAATATAAAAACCTACACGCAGTGCCTGGATCTCCAGGATTACCAAGACATGACAATGAAGTATGTGAATATGATGAAGACGAAGACGTAATCGATTTTAATAAATTGTATGCATGCCCCTCTACATCATCTGGATCTGGTATTCAACGCTTCAATAACAATGAGTTCGAGGATTATCTAAATAAACCGAGGGCCGCAAGTTCGGAAGACATCCCACAGTGGTGGAGGACGCATGAATCGGAGTATCCGATTATATCCAAGATGGCCCGGGATTTTCTTTTAATACCGGCAACTTCAGTGCCTGCTGAGAGATTATTCTCTAAAGCCTCTTTAGTTATTAGAAAACATAGAAATAGGTTAAGTGACGAGTCAGCCAGATGGTTACTTTGTATAAATAGTTGGTCTAAATAATTAATAAAGCAAAAGATTCGTTTTTATGCTCTATTTTTACCCCAGACCCTCATTGTAGATAAACCTGCGGATTACGATACCTGCACCCGTATATTTTCATTTTTACGAGTTATAAGTAACAATAGGTAATTGCAAGACTTGCGAGACTCTTGCAACAAGACCAAGACCAATACCAGGTTTACCGACGCAAGACCAAGACCAAGACTGGGGTTAGTCTCGTCTTGGTCTTGCTTTGGGCAACACTACCTATAACTATGCAGTAGGCTTACATTTATACACAGTCTCACCTGATGGCAAATGAAGAAAAGTACATATTAGCCTAAGAATAACAAAAACTGAGCTGTTTTTACAATACAATAATACAATTGAAACTCTTACCTTAACAACAACCTCATCGTGTAAGAACTCCATTTCAGGATTGATAAAGGAGAATGCATCATCTTTCAGCACTAAACCCACATTCACATCTGCAGTCACATTAGACAGTGATATTCTATAAACATATATTTCTACTTACTTATTGTACTAAAGACAAATACAACGAAATCTACTTTTCTTCTATAAAAAACATTAACCAGTGTTACATTACCAAAGTCATCATATTGTCTATTATTTTAATCGACCCTGCGCAAAAATCATAATAACTAACTCCTTTTATTATTACCTACCTCATTTTATTGCCTGTATTTGTACAGACCTATTAAGGAAAAACATTATTGCATATGAAACTTCTTTCATGTTTTCAAAACATATATATGTACAGTATACTCACAAAACATGGCCCTCTGACATAACAGGTATCAAGTTGTACAGATTTTCATTAAATGCACTGTAGATTCCTTTTACATTTACCTCACCCAATGAACATTTTAGCGAAAGACTCATAGACTTTAAGTCTAGGGATAAAGACTGCATGTGAAATGTTGGAGACCTTACTAGCTCTAGTTTTGATAAATTCCTGAAAATGTAAATTTCGTCAAAAGCCGTTCTGTGTGGAAGATTATTAGAAATTTTCTACAGCTAACCATTAAAAGTTAATTCTCTGTATTAAAAAAAAATGAATATAATGTATTGAAAGATTTACAAAAGATTCTTACACTTGTGTGTTTTTAGCAAAATAAGAAGTATCTTCCAAAAAAGCTGGTTTTATCTGTTCACCATTTTTTGTTTGCTGTAAAGCAACATTTGTAAAACTCTGCAATCAAACATAACATAGACGTAAAAAAAAGCCATAACACTGACAAAATCTTAAAAAAATAGACTTGATCATGTTTTATGGCAGTTACACACTAATGCTTACGTGTTAATTAGGAACTAACAATATATATATGTTAATAAATATTATATCATTTTTTTTAATCCTAAAAGTAGATATTGAAACTGTGGTGATCGGATGTGAAATTAAAATTTATATAATTACATGGCTATATGTGAGAATCGGATAAAGCAAATAAACAAAGAACAAATATTTACCCTTTTGATAACGTTTTGTAAGTCTGGTTGCACTTTCGTCAGGAGTTCATCAAGTTCTTGTTCAATATCCAAATTTTCTTTTTCAGACATTTTTGTAAAACCATCACCACCAAAACAGTATTATCACAAAAATTTAAATGCCAACACGATAAAACTTAATTTACTGCTCAAATTGAAACATATTGCAATCAACACTCAAAATACACGGAAAGTGAATTGCTACTCTTTGGAGGTGAATGTTGTGTTGTCATTTGTCAGCTGTATGTCACTTATAGACGGTAGGTAAATTATGAAAATATCTTTGAAAACTTTTAAATGAAATTATTCAGAAAACCAAAATACTCTGTCGTATGAATTAAATACGCAAAAACATTGATAGAAACATTTAAATAAATGCAAATAAACGAAACATTTTTTACATTGCTCTTCTTCTTCTTTTAAATGTTATGGCTCCATTGAAATAATCAATGATTTTGCCAATGTCAAGTAAAAATAACTATGTACGGTAGTTTAATATTATTGTAAAAATTATACAAAAAAAATGGCGATTTCGCCAATGTCCTTTAAAAATATTTAACACGGTTAGGTAACAACGACTTTCAGAACACATCTAAAATGACAGCTGACGTCATTGTCAAAGTGACAGTGACGTTGTCCCACGATTCTACGCTTTCGTTCGCCGTTCGTTCGACAATGGCAGATGAAAGTACTTCTAAAAAGAGACAAGATCCTAAGAAAAAACCTAAACGTTTCCCAAATAAGAACTATGCAGTTAAAAAACGTTTACCAATTCGACCGGTCGACGGAGAAAATGTAATATTCATTACGAAAAAAACAAGCTTCAAGGTAAAAGCAAACTGCATTTTCAATTTCCATGTGCTTATCGTCGATTTTAGCACTTCATTGTTTATCCATATTTTAGGCCCAACTAGACAAGTGTTGCGATCTCCTAACCAAAGGAGAGAAAGAAATAATATTACATGGTCTGGGTGCGGCCATACAGAGGTGTTGTAACTTGGCTCTACAGCTTGAAACGTTGTTTGCTGGAACCTGCCAAATAGAAGTTAATACTGGTACTGTAGACGTAATCGGTAAGCATTAGTACCATGCATGTCCAACCGTAAGTACGCTTTGACCAAAATCACTTAAATATATTTTAAAATGCAGATGATTTGGAGCCATTGACGGATGATTTGGATTATGGTGCACAAATAAGGCACTCGTCTTCCATTCACATACGTGTGTTCAGGACTGCAATGCTTGGCGCTAACCAACAATAATCAACATGTTCTTCACATTGACCGAAATTGTGCAGTGGATTGGACTGACAGTGTTTGAAATATGGGTAAACCTGATAACAATTACTATATTTACAGTGCTCTTAGCTCTGAAGATAGATGGTAAAGTGAATAGTGCGTGGTGGACTATATTTGCACCATTATTTGTAAGTGATGCAATGAATTCATACTTTTGTTGTATTGTATGTATAAGAATGAATTTAGAGAGTTCTTACAAAGCTTCCTTATACAGAGCATCATGGAGTGCTATATTTCTAGGTCTTACTTTTGTATTTAAGTTCTTATTGTGCCGGAAATTGCAAGGAGATTCTGCTATAGAGTATAGTGAAGTTTTTGCACCTTTGTTCATTTTATTGCAATTAATTGCTGTGAGAGCCTGTCAGTTACATCAATAGGAATAGTATACACTTTTATATTATTTAAAATAAATACTGTTAAAATAAATTGTAATTATATTCAATTAAGAAACAAGGAAAACATATGTTAATTAAAAAATACATCTTAACGAAAGAAGCTAAATATCCCACCTTCCTTCTTGTTTTTCTTGTCTTCACTGCGGAAATTGAAACAGAAATTATTTTCTTGATTCTGTTTGCTGCTCTCAGGATTATTTCCTGATTGTGCATTTTGCTTAAAAAATGATAATCCAGCCTTTCTGAAGCCTGAACAGATAAATTGATGTCTTCAATTAAATGACTCAATAAATTTTAACAATGATGATGGTATTAAAACAGAATTCAAAAATTCATATTGCACCTACTGACCTGACAAGAAGTTTGGTACTTCCTGGGATCCAACTTCAACATTATCTGCACTTGTATCTGCTTTAGGAGACAAAAGCAAACTGCTATCTGTAATTTTTAAATCACAGTTTATATCTATCAAGTGAAAAGATGTAACTATGAAACAGACTAAATGAGAATATAACCTTACCAAGACCAGTGGGAAACTCAGAATCACCCTCTTCATAACCAGTGGTGCTCATAGAGATATCTAGGCAATCAGGGATTCCATGAGGCCCATGAGTAAATAACAGGCCTGCTACAGGCTTTTCTATTTTATTTACCTAAAAAATCAAACTTGTGATCAACCGGTCTGTACCAAAAATTACTTTATTGAACATGCAAGTTACTTATAAGTAGCAATTAATTAATTTTATAAACTTTAAAAATATCAAACAATTTTTTTATGAACCTCAAGATTTAAAGCACCATTATCAACTTCCATGTTTTCCATATTTTCTTCCCCTGGTATACTTTCATAATGTTGAGCTTGTGGTTTATCTTTTGGAGAAGTTCCCTTAGAGGCTAATTTATTAACCTCGCCGTCATTATTTTCCGTTACAAGTTGATCATCAGTTTCAACATATTTTGTATTGCTTTCAAAGAATTTGGATGTTACTAATTTGTCACCGGTTTTCTATAAACCATAATTTATTAATAAAATAATATGTAGCACATCAGGACATAAACCATTAATTGAAATTTTTACCCTCTGCAGCATCATCATATTTTTCCCATAAACAAATTGTGGTGATAAATCCAAATTGTGCTTCTTCAATATCATGTTTTTGATTGAGGAAAAGTTATCATCTCCCTCAATAGTCAAGTCTAATTGGCTACTAATAGTATCATTTGTTTGATTCCCATTATTATCAGAAGTAATTTCATTTTCAATTGCACCTGTGACTTCAACAGACAATGGAATATCAAATGAAACCTTTTTCTTTATTACATCCTCCTGTGAACTCTTAAAATTATTCACTGGTTTTAGTAACTTTTCCATAACTATGTAAATACATAATTATACAAACCATTTGGGTATTACCTTTACTTGAGAGATATTTCCATTCTTTGATGATGACTCTTCCATCGACACATGAACAATGACATCCACTTCTTGCTGGTATCCACCAAGACCCTGGTCCTAATAACAAACTTAAATTAGGAAATATTGGAATGAAATAATTTATTTGACAAGGAATACTACAATGAATACTCAAATTAAAAATAATAATGAACAAAAACACACGCCAAATGGATCTATGACTCAGCTACAGAGGACAATGAAGGACATGGTCCTCGCTAATATTCTGCCATGGCCCTTTATGATCAGGAACACACATAAATATTTATAATTAATCACATACACACAGGCATAAGATTACACTAATAATAAAAATGAAAAATACAATTATATTTCCAAATTATTAAAAAATTGTATCAAGGCACGAATAATAAGAGGCCTGCATCCCGTGATTGCTTGTCAAATAGTCATTGTGAGCATTTGCGTTTGAATTACCGTAACGATAAAGACTCTGGTTATATACTCGATGCCGCCGCTCTTACAGGAGGTGCGTCATTCCAAATTTTAAATGAGGCATATTTGAAGCAACCACGCTTATAGCGAGTGACATAATGTGCTTCCTAATCATGACACCTCTGTCGCGCAGTCCCTCAGCATGCTTTTGCGTTACAAGCTTATTGCGTAGATACATAGGCATGCGCTTTTTAAATAAAGAATGTAAAAACACGCATATCTAACACTACGTGAGTTACGCATGCTGAGGATCTGATTAAAGATGAGGTGTGATGTGATCTCTCCTTGGCATTGCATGACAATAACGTACACATGCATTCTGCACCCTCTGAATGGACATTATTATTTTTTTAAACAGACAAGGTCCATAAACTATATCGCAATATCTTAGGTAATAATCACGTCACGATATGATTTAAAACATGAAGCTACTCTAGAAACAAAACCTGGGTTAGGTCCAAAAATCGTGAAGGTGGTATTAGAACATTTTCATCATTTGTATTAGTTATATCGACTTCTTCTATCTCTTCACTTTCCAAAGGAGTGACTACCTGCGAATATGTTTTAAACATAATTAGTTAATACTTTATTATTATTCTACATCACATAAAAGTTTTGTTTATTATTTATTTGCCTTAGATGGTTTAGGTTGTGAATTGTTTCTGTTATTATCTGCAGCAATAACGTCGACGTCTTGACACTTATTCATATTTACTTTTGATATTATTTCATAGGTTTCTTGATCATCAAGCTTCACGTCTTCCAGGATGTTTATCAGTTTCCTTTTTGAAAAATCCTCCGGTTTTGGGTTCGGCTTACCATCAACATTTTCATTGCTTTTAGTAAAGTAACAAGACACGTAATTATTGATTAAGTCATCATCTTTTCCTTGTTTAATAGGATTTCTGTCCATTTCGTTAGCCGACATAGTCCTCTTCGGAGCAACTTGAAAACCGTCGTTGTTGATCTAAGAACAACAACAACAATGAGAATTCAAGCAAACTAAGGTAAGAGTTTTTGTAGTATTTGTGTGCTGTAAAAGTATTATACTTTACATCTAATTTTACACTTGTAATGTCAAGCTCGAAGGTCGGAAGTTGCAATCTCGGCATCTGCAAAAATATTTATTTTTAATTCATACAAGAAGTCAGCAAATCCCTTTGAATTAACCAACTACCATATACTCTATATACCATACACGTACATACCATGAAAGTGTCGTCTTCATACTTTTTTACTTTAACCCAATTTTCAACCTTGTTATTGTCTTCATACTGTTGTAAATTCAGTCTATCCATTGTTCCAACAAGAATTTTGTTATTATTGGTTTCTTGCTCCTTTACTATGGAGTCTATTTGTATCGTTAAGTCTCTTTCTTCAATTGATTTCTCTTTTATAATCTTTATAGCAAGAGGCATTTCGTGAACAATGAATTCAACAAATTGTATTATTTGTTCCCTGTCTTTATTTACTAACTCGGCTTTCTTTATTTCTAATTCTGTAGTAAGAACGTTCCTTTCTTCTTCAAGGGATTTAATGTCAACTTGAACAGCCTCTAACTTTTTCGTAGTTTGCATTAATTTTTGAACACTAGATATGCTTTCATACCTCTTTTTACATTCAACCCAAAGGTTTTCATACTTCTTTTCTGCGTTTCTCATTCGCTCGGCAAGTCTCATGTTATTTTCTTTAGCCAATAATAGCTCTCTTTTAATTTCAGTGTTTGCTGATGTAATGGCGTTTTGTGTTGTAATCAAACTGAAAATTATTATGTTTTATAATAGCCTTAACGCCCTAGAGAATGGCTTTTATTCTAAACTGATATATGGCTCCTCAACCTTACGGAATGATTCTTAGATAGATAAATACGTAACTCTACCTAATAGGTACTTACTTAGTATACTCGTCTACCTACTTTTTAATCTCGTGTTCAGCATTTCGTACTTCAGCTTGTAATATCAAGTTACCGTTCTTCTGAAAGTTGCATACTTCTTTCCTTCGCTCGATCTCAGCCTTAAGTTTGTTCGATAAATCTTCTTGAGCTGAAAGGTTTGGTCTTATAATTTTTTTTTGTGTTAGTTAATATAAACTAATAGGTACATACACATTTTGCAAATTACCTGTTTCATTCCTTTATTAATCTACTCTTTGCAGTGCATGAAAAAATATTTTTAAAATTTTATCGGCACTTACCTTTGATACACTGCTTCGCATATGTTAATTTTACTTCAGATTCATCTATTTCACTAGTGACTCTTGCCAACGTTTGAAACTCGTTTGAAGTGGACATTTTTTAAATTTGGGTACCTGTTTTACTGGCGTTTTCAATTTTTCTTCAAGTTTATAAAAGTGGCGGGAAAATAGTAATTTGTTTAATGTATTTATGGACACTGATTTATAGTTTTCAGCCTCTTTTCCAGAATGAAAAAATAGGACTAGAAAAATTTTTAATTATTAAAAAAAAAATTTGGTAGTTATCGTGATCACCCAGAAGACATCCATTGCTGAACACTAAGGCTGAACATATTCTTTCTCTATAAAGTGCCACGAAAACAAAACCCGCATCTAATAGCTCCCACAACCTTAATTGACCTATTTCATTTTGAGAGCTGTCGGTCGTGCGTGTTTGTTCTTTCATGTTGTATGTAATATCATTGTATCTCGTAAAAGTACCTATTTTTGTTGTAATTCTGCACAATTGTGCTTCTTATTATTTATACGTTTAAAATATCGTAGAGCTTTCAATGGATTTTATTATCGTTTTTTAGCACACTGGAATAAGCCAAAACACAGTGCATGCTCTATAACAAAATACATACAATTTGTTACAGAACGACGTTATTTTTAACCAACTTTAAAAAATTCATTCATAAAAAAGAAAAGGTTCTCAATTCGTCAGTTTATTTTTGTGTATGTACACGATACCTCCGACATTTGTGAACCGAATTCGATTATTATTTCTTGTGTACCTCAAAAGTATCCCATTCGAGTTTGAAAATATTCCATCTCTAAGGGTAGTAAATTAGGGGATGAATCTAGTTATTAATTTTCACCCTCTTTAATCCTTTAACCGATTTGAAATAACTTTAGCACATTGATATAATTTCAATGGAAAGAAAATGTTATAGTTACCTAGAGCTGATCTGATGATGAAAATTGCAGACAGATGAGAGGAAGAGGAAACGGAAGACTTACATCAGTTATCGTTGAGGAGACCGTTAAGCGGTAACGAATACAGATGAAACGACTATCCGGTATCCGGCCTATTTTTACTATCCGGTCCGATACCGGATAGTAGAACAATATACGACAGGATAACGAAAGTTTAAAACTGACAAAAATCACAATGAATACGCCAAATTAATTCATTTATTGATTAAAGAGGATAGGTAGTACTTAGTAATAGGATAAACCGCAAGTACAGGATCGTTGACAATCTGTTTATTACTTGTAACTAAAATAACTATTTATTTTATTTATGTATTCATTCACGCAAAACCAACAGCCTCTTACATTTAATAAAAACAAGAAACATAAACGTAAAGCCACTTGCATTTTACCACCTATAGCTTCAGACAAATCATACAGGATCATTAAACAAACGAACAATAAACAGTATTTCTTAACAACATGCACCCATGAATGTAACAACCCAATACCTGCGCTAATCAGAAATTATTCAATAAAGTTAGGCAAATAGAATGCCCGTTTACGCTTTAGCGCATCAAAATTGTAATTGAATATATGAACTTCCAGGTCATGATTACTCAGCACACTATCTAAGCTCTTGCTAGCTCTACGTAGAAAACTGTTTTGTCTATAGTTAGTCCTCGCTAAGGAACTACAATAGGGTGATAGTGTCTTATAAAACGGGTAAGTGCAATATAAGTACATTACCATTTATGATGTTTAGAATAACACGCTATATCAAAGATTTTTCGGCATTTTCAAAGAAAGGTAAATAACGTTATCTATAAATTTACTACTCAAATTTCAATAAAGGCTAATTATGGTGGATGAAGTCCAGTTTTTCTTTTAGTAGTAAAAGTCGGTTTTTGGGTAAAAGTACAGATTTTGACTATCAACTTTTACAAACTTTGTTAAGTTTGAAGTACCTACTACTTGTTATCGCCTGACGACCAATAGACAAATATCCGGCCTAGGGGCTCGCCATATATCTGGTATTTCCGGATATTATCCGGATATTTGGTGGGAACCAAATCACTATCCGTTTCATTTCTAGTAACGAACGCAGCGAAAGCGGAAAAGCAAACTTTCAAGGCCGGTTTGCTTTTGTAAAAAGTTGACAATTATCTAAGGGTCGCCTCAAATTGCGGCAGCCAGGTGAACGCGACGACGCTGCGATGTATTAAAATCAGTAAGGCAACATAAACTTTATCTTCCACCAGGGGGCCAATCGCGCTAATTGTCAAAGGTTTAACCAAAACCTTCAACCTCGCCAATCTGACACGTTGTGTACATTTCGTATCGCGCTAACTGTCAAAACAAAAACCTAAGCCAAAACTTAGACGTGTGACACGTAACGCACATTTGGTATCGCGCTAATTGTCAAAGGTAAAACCAAAACCTGAAATGTTGCAAATTGGTATCGCGCTAAATATTTTGACGTTTTAACCTCACATGTAACCTTGGGGGAATAGATTAACCTTTGCAAGGTCAAGGTTTGTGTGGCAGTTAATGGAGAGTAACTTTTCACTACGTTTATCGTATATAAAAGATGTTCCACGGTTACTTAAATGTTTTGGAAAGTGTTTATGAGGTGGATGTGGCCTAAGAAAGGGCTTTAAATAAAAGAAAAGCATAAAAAGACGATCACATTTAACATGTCTGAGGAGAAATTCCGCAAACGATATACCATTTGTCCACGGAATTGGTGGAAGAACTATGCCTACATATTCTCGTTAAAGGACGGTCTGTTGCATTGGATGTGGAGACAAAGGTAAGAGTTAAGTGGAATCCGATAGTTCTCAGTTTTGCATAATAACCAAAATGTCTATGCTGTGTAAATCATTATTAATTTTGTTACAGATTTTAATAGCTCGTATTGTTTTTACGACTGGGGCGTACCTGTGACCCTCATTGGCAAGTGCTTATCACCCTTTCCCAAGCCAGTGTCAGAAAGGCACAAGCGGTAGCTGCTTCAAATAAACCAGTTATTATGAATAAATATGCAGCTTTCCTAAAAGGCATGCCGAAAGAGATGGTATTAAAAGGCGGTGAGAAAATAAGCTTTACAATGTACATCATATTTATTAGTTCTTGTCTTATTTCCTGTTATTATTATCAAATAAAAATGACAGATATAGGTAAAATATGTATAGTTGTATAAAAATATATTACAAGGTTACAATTTATCTCTTTTAACACTTGACTTTATACAACATATCGTCCCCTTACAGTGAAGCCTCACATATGCATTTTCAGTTTGTTTTTACTGATTTTTGTTGAATAAAAATTAATAATGTAATAATATAGTATCTAAAAGAGGTATAATTTAAGTAATTAAAATGCTAACTACACACATTATTGCATTTACTATACTTCACACCATATTTTTATCTTCATCCTAAAAAATTACATAGAAATATGTGGTATTCATTCTAAGATGACGATGTATACCTATTGTAATTGTTTATTATCTTAATATCTAAATTGATGTATACTTTTAAGAGGTTGAAATAAAAAAAAGAGTGTATTTTTAGTTTATTTATTGCCTCAATCTACCCCAAATCATCCTTCATTTCCAGAGCGAGCTTGCTTTTGATTCTTCAAAGAAGTCTGAAACAAAAATATGTATATAGTAAGATTGGAGACCTAAATTTAAGACTGTGCCATACCTCTCATGAGAGTAGTGACAGATAAAGCAGGATGGGTATTTATATACATACAGTATGAAGCCAACATAAAGGCCAGAATGTTTAGGGGCCTTTTCAAAATACATTTAAAAAAATGTTTATATCACTGTGGAAATATAAAGGGGACAAAAGTCTACAGATTAGACCTTCGTTCCTTACGCTCTTTCAGATTTCCACAATTGAACATATCATCAGCAGGAATTAAGAAAACATGTTGAAAACAAACCTGTCATTCTTGTTAAATAGTCTATCAAAAAGGTTAACTGCAGGCACCAACTCGGTAATTGCTTTGCAAATGGCAGCTACGGATTGGGCATGCAGATCATCTGCTTTGGCAGAAATAATAGCTGCCTCAGCCTGCACCCTGCCAGCATTCACTTGCTGCAAGAATGCTTCGCATGCTCGCTGCTCCTCAATGCATAAGAATTCTACCCGGCTCTGCTCCAACGCTCATCAGCTCGCTGTCAACGAAATAATAGATGTGATGGAATAAAGAGTGGGAAAGAATTTGCTCAAATTGAAAGTTACTTTGTTTTTTAATTAATAATAAAGAGTGAGAAAGTTACTTTGTTATTGAATTGTATGTTTGAAGTTATTTTGTGCTAGAGTTGGTGTCCTTTAGGAAGGTTGGTAGGGCCTCTGCCGCAGTCGACGTGGGCGTAGATTCTCACCCTGCTTTTCATACCATTCCATACCTGAATAACAATAATAACATTGCATATTATAGTGATATGAGTTCTGGTACAATAACGGTGAGTGATCCACTCACTGTATCCTATTACCTCGCATTATAGCTCACCTTTTGGGATCTATTGCGGGGCCACAAAATAGCCACACACTCGCACCAAAGGCGTGCTGATAACACGCGCGAACAACGCCGAGCGAAGTCATTCTCAAGCCAAATCTCTGTGCGATTCGAACTCCAGCAAAGATGGAGCTGGCTTACAGTGGTCGCTCGCCGTCCGACCGCATCCACACTGGCTGAAATACGAGCATCATTATTAATTCTACATTGCTAACATTTCGAAATTAATAGTAGTTAGCGTACCTATTTGATTGTATAAAAAGATACTATTTTATTAAATAGAATATTAAAAAAGGAAAACAATGTGTAGGTACTTGCCTCTGCGTGTTTTATCTACAACAACAACACACTAAATTCAATTAATTTGGTTCAAATCACAACACATATGTTTGTTTACAATAGAATTTAATGACATTTCTTTTACACACTTTTTTAAATCGCTCTTTTATAGACTTGAATTCGTAGATATTGACATTTCAGTGCGTTTTACGGTAAAATTTAGTCGGTTTTAGGAAGTCAAGGCACGTCTCTTAAAATTTAATACGAGGTTATAGTTTGAGGTTAATTTGAGGTTTAGGTTCATTAAAACTGATAGCGCGATTGCATTTTGTGCGTCGGTAGAACCATTAATTAACCAAAACCATAACCTCAAATGTTGTAAGGTTAAACCTTGCGAAAATAGCGCGATTGGCCCCCTGATAAGAGAAATTTTTTACCAAAAAATTAAAAAGGACGCCATGCTGCGTAGCGCGCACTTTGCAGAATGCAATATAATATAAAACATACATAATTATATTAGTAGAGAGAGACTAAATAAGGTAAGTATTTATTTGAATGCAAATAAATAATAATAAGTAAATACTCCAATAAATTAATATTTATGTCTAATGACAACATCACATACGTTGCTCTGATCCTAAAGTAAGGGTCGCATTCCAGAACTCTACTCAAGTCAGGACTTGATTACAAGCACTGTAAATACGACCCTAATGGTAAGGACTTGAGTATGATTTCTAGTGCTTTAAATCATACTCAAGTCCTGACTTGAACATTGAGTTCTGGAATACGACCCTAAGTAGCTAAAACACTTGTGTTATGGAAATCGGAAACAACGACAGTACCACCAAACGCCCAGACCTGAGACAATATAGAAAAGTTAATTTTGTACACTGACCGGCCGGGGATCGAACCCGGGACCTCAGAGATGGCGACACCATAAAAACCGGTGTGCAAGTCACTCGACCACAGAGGCCGTCACAATGCAATGTACAAAATGCGCATAATGAGAGTTACTGAAGTACAGAAAAAATAGTTAAGCCGGCCAAGTGTATCCGGGTTGGTGCCAGATATAAGCTGATTTTATTTCTCTCTGTTCGCTTGGTTACGATGCTGGGTTTTATAATAATAATAAAATTAACTTTTATTTTGGTGTGGGTGCGCGTATGCCACGTGTGTTTCTTGGGTGTATATGACAATAAAACTAACCTAACAATATTTTTTCACTTTACATTTATCGAATGATTGTATGAAAAAATAAGAGTCATTTGCTATGTAATTTGTAGAATAATTTAACAAAAATATTATTAAAAATATCGCTTGCAGGCACATCTTAACAAAAACAAAACAGTAACACACGACAGTGTGCCTGTGTAATCTTACAAACTTTTTAAATAATTTTATTGCTTTGTATTAAAGCCGAATACGCACGAAACAAAAAAAATCAGTTCACTAATAAAAATTCAGTATCACACTAATAATATTTGTAGTTCAATACAGTGAATGCAGTACAAATATTGACTAAGCAGGTATACGAACTTTATACAATGTGAACATTTTGCATAGGAAGAAAGTATTAATAAAAAATACATGTTAAATTATCCCAGCATTATAATATATACGAGCCCCGTATACCTAATATTAAAATATTTATTTTATTGAATGTCATGATGTTTGTACTACCATGATACTCATTTATTTTTCGTGAAAATAGTCCACTATATATAGTTTGTTATTATTATTGATACAAAGATCGAACAACGAGTTAACCACACTAGCGGTAACTTTTGACGTTACAATGGGTGGCCTTTTATAAGTCGTTGTAACACACAACCCCATCTTCTTGAGGATTCTCAATAAAACAAATAAATCAATAGCTAAAATTTATTTAACAAAATAGTGTCATACAGTTATTCAAAATAACAGACATAAATGATAATTTGCAATACAACCTAGCATCCTAATTAAACCAGGTACTTTTCATAAATTTATTCCACTAACAAAAAACTAAAAGGACAAACATTGACGAATGCAGCACGAAGGAATGTTGGCTAATGCTAGCGGTAAGTCACACTCATTTTGTGTGAAACCAGCTGTTTACACTGGCCCGCTTACTACTGCATGCGTTTGCAGTGCAAATAGCTGCTTACTGGCACCATTTCAATAGTATTTACACATAATATTTACTACACAATGATCCACTATAATGGCAGTTTTAATATGGGGCTTACAAGTAAAAATTTCACATAAAAACTGCCCTAACAAATGTGACTCAATATTTACCTATTCATTAACCATCAGATCCATACATCCCTCACTTGTGACTATTTACACATTATAACCATAATACTGTTAGCAAAATTATAATTAGGTACCTAATTCATTCTGTCAAATGTGTACTTCAATTGAACACATAGGATGTACTGCGATTATACTTTTATCTTACTTCAAAACATTCGTGAGTCACCAATAGATGAGTTTACTGCGTTGCAAGTGAACGTATCACTTCTACAAACGAATTTTTATATAAAATGTTTGCAAGCCTCAATTCACGGAGAAAATTATATTGAACTTATTATATCTATGCTTTGGTTTCGTTACTGGGGTTAGTACTTATGTGGGTGGTTATGTAAATATTTTAGAACATGAAGAGCAACAGTACGCAACGCCATATTTGTTTAGCAAAACAAAACGAGCTCTAAATGCAAGGCACAAGGAGTAAGGGGACTACTGTATAGATATGTTACATCGTCATCAACGTGAACAACCGTACTGATAACTTATCTGTAACATGGCAATAAAAGAAACAATCCCTACCGCGTCGAATAACGTACAATGAACTGTCAGCTTCTGTAGTTACTAGGAACTCTTATTACAGATAAGCTGATCGGTCTGCATTCAAAACTAGTGACGACAAGGAATGTCTACACAAGGGTAAAACCACATCAATACGATCAACCAATTATCAAAATATAGTAAAGATAACAAACCAAAAGCACGTCAATCTGGAATAACTTATTAGTAATACTTAAAAATACAATGGGTCCCACATTAAAATTAAAGTAATTTTAATATTAAATTAATATAGTTTGTACCGCCAACATTCACTAAGTGCAGGCCGCCATGCGGTCACAAGAAGACAAGAGGATCTTAAATGACTAACACTGTGAGGTGGGCACGAGTAATACAAAATAAAAATACCCTGCTGTGGCCTCTCCCTGTGACCACACGTCGACCGGTCTACTATTTTTCTACTTCACCATCGAACTGTTAAAACTGTGGAGGAAAATAGTTTTCTTTCGTAATATTCTAACATCCACCGGTGACCTAAATGTACTCTCAAGATCTGTACGACGCGGCGCGGCGGGCGCACAGCCGCAGCTCGCCCTGAAACCGTACCGCCTAAGATCGCTTCTTTCGAATTTCGTCCGAAAGATATTTTTTTTATAATTTTTCATTACGAGCCGCCGCGAGCTCATTAACTGTAGGGCTGCGGCGGCAGCAGAATCTCGGTGAGCAGACGCTTGAGGCTGTCGATGCCGGTGAGGAAGCCACAGTCGGGGCCGTGGTGCGGCGTGGCCGTGGCCAGCGGCGACTCAGCCACGGCGCCGGCGTAGGTGGTGTGCGCGAAGTCGATCATGCGGATGTCGACGCGCTCGTCGGCGGCGGAGGGCGCGGGCGGCGCGGGGGACGGCGGCGGCGCCACGCTCCAGGCGGGGATCGGCCGCGTGCAGGCGCGCTTGCCGCTGGCCTCGGCCTCGGGCTCGGGCTCGGCGTCGCCGCGCCACGACTCGCTGCTGGTGGACGAGTAGGCCATCCAGCTGTCAGTCGAGTCGGGGCTGGGCGGCTGACGGCGCGGCGACTGCGACGCCACCTCGTCCTCCTCGTAGCCGCCCATGGTCTCCTCGCTGTGAGGCCGGAACGGCTCGCGCGCCTCGTGCGGCTCGTTCGTGTCCGACGAGATCTCGTCGTGTAGCGTAGACATATCGAAATGGCCGGGTGACGGCGCCAGGTCCGTGGAGCTACTCGATGCGTCGCCGTCGTAGTCGTTCCCTATGCCGACAGCCGCCGAGTCGATTACCTGAACGCTCGGCACGTCACCCTCGTATACTATCAACAGCGAACTGGAAAAACAAAATAAATTAGCACCGATGCTCTACTCAATAGGTTTGGCAAATTTTATTTAACGTGACCGTCAATGAACACTTACCAGGAGTAGAACCTGTAGCTGGTCTGCTTGGCGATGGCGCGGCGCAGCGCGTCGAGATCACGCAGCACTTTGCGTACGACGCGCGTGCGCAGCCCCGCGCAGCCGCCGGCGAAAAACTCGCGCAGCGCCTCGCGCAAGCCACTCTCAGACAACGCACGTCCCCAGTACTTATCGCGACGGAAACACGCACCGGTCTCGGGCACGTACACCTGTCGAACGGCCAACTCTTTATCGATTTGTAAAGAAGTAAACGTGACATACCTACCACATGTCGGCGGATAGGTCGAATTGCCCTTAATGACGGGCTCATAAATGTCGAAACATATCCCCGCCATATTACGTTTTCAATAATGGAAGTAACTTTACCTGCATGCCGCACAGGCGCACACCGAGCGTAGCGGAAGTACTAGCGGCGCATTTGGCGATCTGCTTGCTCCGTTTTTCAGCCGAAGCGTCGTCGCCGTGCTGTCGTGTGCCCATCTTCAGATCCAACACACATGGCCGCCGGTACGACGACGTTATGTTCTCCATCATCAGGAAGTCTGCAAACATTCACATGCACTGTTAAGGCCGAATGTTTTATTTCATTGTTACAGGATATTCCTTGTATTATTTTAATGTCAAGGAAAATTCAATGTTTCCTTGTGGCTATGATTTTTTAATTTCCTGATTGTTGGAGGATAATAGTGTAATGTTCACTCTGCGTCATAGTATCGAGCATTTGCGCCACAACGTTACTGTTACTTGTTGGCCGGGAGACGCACCAATGCAAAATATGTATGTACGTTATTACTTAAATTAATCGTGGTTTTATGTAGTTCAAGAAGATGACTTACATTGTTTATTTGAGTTGTCCATGTGAGCTATACTTTTAAGCACTTCACTTGCATTGCCATTTCGGTGTACTTTAAATCTGTAATAGGAAACAAGGGTATTGTAAGACATTCCATCTAAGGTCCCGGTATGAGCGATAGTTTAGAGATAGGATCTAATTAAAACACATGATCGGTGTTATCTGTTATATTGTTACATTGCAATCAAAATGAATCATTACCACGTCTCCACGACGCAAGTCATCGAGGCTCGCAGCGTGTGAATGGGTGCGCGTTCATCGCTCACACGTTAGTGGGATAGTCATGTAAGTAGGTATGAATTAATGGCAACGTCGGGCGCCGGGTCAGGCGTACGGCGTACGTCAAAGTTTCTGAAATATGATAAAGGACACATGACAAGTGTCGAAGAGAGTTGCGCCACCCGCGCTTTGCGGTCTGGCCGCTATACGCACTTGAAAACATCGTCGCGCCGGCGCTTGCCGCCCAACGACTGCTTGCGCCCGTTCTCGTCCCGGAAACATGGTGAGTACCGCTTGTCCAATTTGGTGCCTCCCGCCGTAGATGCCTGCATCACGCCTGTAACAAACAGCCTCGCCATCAGCAACGTCCGTCACAGCACACTTACGGTTCGTTGTATTCGACATTAACTGCTATTTAATATTATTTAAATAATAAAATCTGCTTTCAAGAAGATCTTCATAAAACAACATCGATAACAAAATAAGAGCGGATAATTTATATATGGAATGCAAGATGTAAGCGATAGAGTGTACAACTCAAGATCTGCCCAGCCGGGATTCGAACCCGGATCTCTGGATAATATCCAGCGCGCTGCTTGCACCACTGAGCATTTGAGCCATATCCTTTACTACCCGAATAATAAACACAATGTAACTTACTACAGTGCAAGTTGCCAGCATTAATTTGATGAGGAAGTGATAGTTTAAGGGTTACATTATTTAAAAGGGTTTGTATATCTTTGTGTGTCCCTGTATAAGTGTAAATATGTTGCTCGTTATGTTGGGTATGAATGTTCATCGTATGGAATGAAAATGTATCTGTAATTGCCAGAGTCAATCTAAAGTATCGGTTGAGCCTGTACGCAACAGGAAACGTCAACCAACTCGCTGTAGCAAGTGCTATATCCGCCACGGTAATGTACTGCAAGCTTGCTGAACCATGTCCACAGTAAAGTACCGGAACGTTAACAGTATTAGAAGTGCACGTAAAACCAGTCGGCAACGCTCAGTACATTTACCCTATGGTAGGGAATCAAAGCCGGTGCATACATAGTATATGCACCGACATTTGTTCAGTAGGACATAAATGACTGCGAAATGTCGGTCAACAGCTTTTGTTTGAACGGGGCCAATGCTTGTGTGTATATGAGTGTGTGTAGTTTTAAGTAAAGGTTTACAAACCCAAAATTTAGGGCGCTATTAGGGCGGTTCTGCCGAGTGCCGCCGGGCGTCGCTCCACTCGCCGCAGCGCCGCAGCCCTTGCGACAACAAGGAAACTAATATTTTGTTCCTCACCCTTCACCCCTGACCCACTCCCATGCCCTTCTCTCGCAGACAAACCCTCCGCCATCGAGCTTTACCGCTGCCCAATCAAAGAACAAGCCTTTGACTAACAGGCACTATGAATCACTTCCCAAATAATCATTTTGAGTAATACAAATGTGTAACCCACATTAAAACATACGCTTGGAACTTGCGTAACATTGGTAATCATGTAATGGTGTTACGGGTCTCATAGTCATGTAGCATATTTCTAAATTAACAAAAACGAACAATTTCTTTTGTTTTAGTCATAAAAAGCAATTTTTTATTGTAAGTACCAGCAGAAAATTGGCTAAATCGGTCTCAAAGTAAGAACGCCCTCAGTCTAGTCGGCGGGTTTGCGTACTTCAAACATCCACACGTCTCTATCATGCACATAAGTTGAGAAGATCACGGTAAACCGAGCAATAAGGAAAGCTGTTTTAACAATATTTAATCAATATCTCTAATCTTCCACAGCTTTATGCACCGGTACGCCATCATACGGCGTGGAGAGTGCTACAATTTCGATAAGATTAGAATCGTAATTCCGGAACATAATTACATTACATTAGACCACAATTGTGACGCACAAGATAAAAATATTATAAATCGATAAAATTATACATAATACAAAACTACGACGACATTGAACATTTCAACACACAGTGATATACGACATTCAATTCGTAAAATAAAGCTGTGTAAGAAAATAATCAATTTGAAAATAAACACATCTAGTTATTACTAATCCTTAGTGCTCTAAAATGCAACATTTGGTTTTAACATAAACAATAGATTTATGAAAAGATTAAACGTTGAAAAATAAAAATGTAAGATGCAATGAATGATTATGATGCATTCAGCGAATCGTAAAAGCTTTTCGAGCAAACAATAGTATTGTACCAGTTGGATGAGAGCTCACCTTTGTATCTGGGTACGAAGTTTTGTATGTCTTCGGGAATGTTCTGGTAGAAATGCAGCTCGCGCGTGTTCAGAGGCTTGATTACTGTGCTATCATTCAGCACTAGGAGCCGCGTATGCCCACCCACCTGCACAATACAAAAAATGTTAGCCAATGTATTACAAAATATATCCATAATGAGGTCTTCGAACGTTCTAAACTTCATGTTCATTTACTTTTTATTTTAAAGGTTGATCGTAGTGCAGCGAGAGAAGCTTTCTTGGCATCGTCTCAAATTGCACAATCTACGAATTAAGTACTTGGTCGTTATGGTCGTTCCTCATCCGATATGCATGAAATTTTAAACTAGCGTAAAAATGCAATTGTCGTAACGTAGCCCAAATGTTTCATTTTAATGTGTGATCTGACGTCGAATTTTGCGACCGCAAATATACAGAATTGTGACAAAAGCAAAACTAGAAAGACTCCTGCGCTTCAGTACTGAATCCATATTTCACTCACCACTGAGCTATGGTTATTGAGATTTCTCGAGCTGAGAGATCAGACCTATTACGAATCTATAGTAACTGTGCCTAATTTATTTAGGTCGATAATGATTTATTCAGCATATCATTATTACTCATAGAGACTAGTGGGCCGAATCGGGACTGATATCGAATGCGAATAAGCTGCCGAATGTTCGATAAAAAATTTACCGAACCGAATATGCGGTCGAATAATTCCGTAAAATTTGAGCGCTTTGTCTTGATTTAAAAAATAACAAATCAGTGCGTGTCGAGCGCACAAGCCTTCTGCCCTATAAAATGTGGCATCCTTTGTAAGTGAAATAGATACTCTTACTTTGTTATTACAAAAAGACGTGATTTAGTCGTTGATGTCGAATCTCATGAAAATTATCTATTTATTTCATTTAATTCTTCAATAACTCACTTAAACCTGAAAGATATGCAAGCTATAAGGTAGGTAAGTAAATTATTTCATTTTTAGTAAAAGCATGTTCGGCAGAAATTCGATATACCTGCCGAACATGCCGAATACCTAAAATAAAACGAATATTCGGCTCACCCCTAATGGAGATAAGTTTATCATTGACAGTATTTATGAAATTAATCTCTAACGTCCAACTATTTAGTCACAATGAACTTGACTAACTAGATTGACACGTCCATAAATAACATAACAAAAACGGAGCAAAACATTCGATATGTTTTAATACAGGTGCTTTTAGTACACCAAATGTTTTGGCTCATTGTCCTCTTATCGTGCGGGTAATCAAATTTGTTTGGAATGTTATTGATTAATAAAGTATTTAAATTTATGTGATCAATTTGGATTCGAAACAAATCCCAAATGAACCGGATGCAAAAATACCCTTTTGTGTTTGATATTATTTTATTAATATTGTTTTTATTCAGTGCATATAATGCGGTTCGGCTTGAACATCGATAATAATCGATCTTGTAGCGTGTAAACCTAGAGAGAAAAAAGTAAAGTGGTGTAGACGGTGGCATTGACCGCGCATAGAACGTCCCGGCACGACACGACACCCAACGCTGCAGTAGCAACAGCCAAGAGGGAACGTGTTACTGCACAGTCATCACGCAAATTCTTGACGATTCATGGTTAATTTTGATTTATGTAATAAGTAGATACATTGTATTAAACGCATTGGTTTCAAATCTAATAGTTGCGTCGCTGCATACTGAACATTGGTCGTGTACACATAACACTATAAAATACCAGTTAGCTATACACGTTTGTTGGTTTTCTGGCACGAGCGCTCTACAGAAAGATGTAAGAATCAGCTGACAACCGGATTCCGTAGCGCCATGATTGGCTGTCCGTTAACATCACGCTTCGCACCACTAATTACAGCTCTTCAACAAAACTGTTATCATCTTGGCACGACTATTGTACTCTACATATTGCTATGTCTATCTTCTGTGGTATATCTGTGTTCATTTGATTCGTACTCAACGAGTCTCTAAGTAAGAACTGGATGATACTAAATTAGCTCAAGTATCTGGACCCCTTTATGCCCAATACAAATTTGACATAGTTAAAGAAAACTTGCTTGCTGTATATTTTGGTTTATAAAATCAAGTGACGGAAGGAACAAGTCGTGCGCCTGATGGTAAGCTACGCGCTATATAAGAGTGCCACTCAGCGCTTTAAATCGCAAAGATCTGAGGGGCACTGCCACTGCGCCCGTCACCCTGAGACATAAATTGACAAGTCCCATGTGCCTGTAATTTCACCAGCACCCTTACCCTTCAAAACCGGAACACAGTAGTGTAATAATAGGTAAGGTGGCAGTACTTTCCTGGACGAACTCTTTCACAAAGTGCTTACTGCTACTATTTGATTGATTAGAAGGTGACGTGAAAGTTGTAAGAACCAAGTGACAATCATAAATATAGGTGATAACCCTTGCGCAATAGTTGGATGTCTATTAACAATACGCTTCCCACTACTATATTGATGAGTTATTTTAATTATTTACCTGATTGTTGAGCGGTAAGACGTCGACCTCATGTCCATCGTCGGGTGACAAGGGCGTGTGCGCTACTGCGGGCGGCTGGGCGCGCTTGCGGTCTGCCCCGCGCCGCTCCGGCTCGCCCATACCCCAGCCGAGAGAGTACACCATCACTTCGGCCGAGCCACCGCCGCCACTGTCCACCTAGTAACAATAATCTCGATTAGATTTTAAGACTCGTGATTTACTAAACTAGTATCATTATTTACAGGTAGGGTTCATTGTATAGCGCTTCGATATTGTGCTGCAACTATTTCCACAAGAAATAAAAAGAGGCAAATCAATTAATGAAAATCATGATCTAAATTGTTAACAAGATCGAGATTTGGGCGCAATGTATGGATGATGCAAAGCACTAAGCCCGTCAAATATAAAAAAATACAACGTCTTCTGTAACAATCAACATAACGGGAAATCATCACAATCCGCAGTACCTAGTTATTACGACAAAATGATATTCCAACTGCATTAGATTTACAATTGGTGTTAGGTTTATTCCATTTAAACAGAAACGCCACAACAATAGTGCTTGTGTGTATGTATAAGCTTGGTTGATATGATTGTCGTCAAATAGTTTTTCCTGTTTATAAGAAGAGAAAAAATGTAGTTGCTAAACAAATCGGGTAGTAACTATGTCTCTATCAACAATACGATACAATTGGCTTGCGAATTGAAGCCGTCAATAGTAATTACAAATAGAGACAGATCAATACGCGCTCTGGAGCTTTGATAGGTACCCTATTCAGAATAAAAGCGCTTGTTGCGGCGCTGGTTATACTCACAAGGCTCGTTTATTCTGAATTTGTTCGCAAGATTCTATACTAACGCTGGCTATACTCACAAGGCTCGTTTATTCTGAATTTGTTCGCAAGATTCTATACTAACTAGAAGAATTTAATTTTGCACCTACACTTTTATTATGGAAGATAAAGTTGTGAGTACAAAGAAAGGTTAAAATGAAATTTGAGATGTGTTTGTCAATACAACCGCCACAAAGAAAACAAAGAAAGTTGCTCCCCACCTCACAAAATCTCAGGTAAGTATGCAATTTTGATGCATTATATCGCGATGGTATAAATCGTCTAGATACATAATGATACGTGATACATACACATACATGTTATAATTATATGAATTTTAGTGACGCTTGTTACGCTAACAATACTATTACTCAGTGACACGCAGATTTATATATGTACTTAATGATTTTTATTATTCATTCAGTTCTTAAACAATTTGCGACGACTTTTAATAAAGGTTATATTCATTTTAATATTATATACCGCAACTAAAAATATGTACCATTACGTATATGTACGTAATTAATAAAAAAAATATGAAAAAAACGTTTATACGTAATTACAAAATTATACATACACACCAACAACTGCGATAAGTTATTTTGATTCCTACCTACCTACCTATAATAATATACCAAAAAAAAAACAAGATTGTTGAAAACCTTTCGCAATGACAACAAGCTGAAGATTGTCCTCGATCCACTGATAAATAGAAGCCTGATGCAAGAACTAAATGCAATTACACCAGTCGCCAATGATCCAAGTATACATTTGCGGGACAGAGAACATTATTGAAAACATTGGACACTGTATATCGCAATAAATTTTATCAGCCCAGCTAAGATACGATACATTGGCACAAAAATTCAAGAATAAACCTGTTATCTAGACGAACGGTCATAACAAAGAGATTTTGTAAAGTTTAAGATGGAGCAAATGCGCTCGGAACTGGTTCCAGTCGGTAGGTTACGTCAGGTCAGGGAACCGGAGCGAGCGAGTGGCTCGTGACCGACGCAGACTGCTTGGTAGCCGACCGTGCAGCTTACTCGTAGTTTTTTTCTTACTTTTAGCCGGTTATCACGTAAGCGTTAAGGGTATCTGAGAATAACAGTGACAGGTCGAACGCGCTGTGATAGTAGTATTACTCAATAAATGTTTCCAAAGCGCTAAGAAAATACACCCGATTAGTCAACTAATATTGCACTATTATTGAGGAAGACTTGTTGATTTAGTTAAGGTGAAGGTATAACATACAAATCTTTCATAACACCGGCGATCAGCTTCCTCAACTCATAAACACGTCGTGGTTTATGTTCATTGCCAATGCAACAAGTGAACGTACATTCTATGTTCCAACGAGTTTCTTGTGTGACGCATCAGTCATGACATATCATGGAAAATTGCGTCGAAGAAACGCCGTTGCTTCACGGCGTCACCAAATTAGAAGCGAATGAAACGCATTGGCGAGCATTTCTGGCTCCAAGAGTATATCAGTGACGCGCTAGCCCCGCCTTGGTAGGTCGCCTATTGGCGTGTCAGCGAACCACAGGGCAACACGACGTCAATGTATCAGACGCAGAACAACAGAAATAGTCCAACAAACACATGCCTTCAAAACAAACACATTTAGTTTGACAGAAATGACGATGTGGATTATTTAAAGAAAATAAATATTCAAAGTTCACAAACGCATTGATTACATAATAAATAAAATCATGTAAAGTGGAATAAACATGTTAAATTAGAAGCGTTGTTGCTAGAATGATCGAGAATATTCAAAATTTGTAACGCCTATTGGCAAGTATCAAAAGGACCTTCAAACTCTTGACAAGAATCACTGACGATATGTATGTATGTAGCAGCTCAAGTATGCGTTACGTTTAAGACACGTAACGTTGACGTATCATATCAATGAAACGAGTTGTACTAATGCCTGTTAGAATTCGAAGTTTAAAGAACGTCAAATGTTTGAAATGTAGAGATAATAAGGCCATGAACGCTGTGAACCAAGCGAGACTGGTTTCGAGCTATAGTATGTTTCGAAATGAATAAACAGTTAAATTTATACGAGGGACGATAGCAACGTCGTTATTTGACTATTACGGAGTTACGTAACGTCGGCAGACGGATAATGCTTCTTTGATTACAAATATTGATAGTAGGCAAATTTCCAAAGGTCTAACCCCTATAAATCACGTGGCAAACGAATCTTTACCTTGTGTGTTTGAAAACATAATAAGGAAAAAATATCAAGTAAAATATTAAAACTTGCCAAGGCTAGCGTTAATCCCAAAATTATACTATGTGAATACTTGTTTAAAAATTGAATTAAACAAGATTTCACTAAACATCGACATCATCCGTTCATCAAAGAGACACCATAATATGTACATCTACAGTATTCCCATAGGTATACTGTTTGGCCTCATTTTAGAACATAATTTTCAACACCTGGTAAACGTTATAAATTTTGTAACAGCAACTAGATCTGAGATATTGTAGCTAAATTTTCATATAATAATGCGGGTCATAAAACTGGTAAATAACAGGCAAAGCATTGTGAGACAATGAGCGTACAAGGTTGAAAATTTATATCAACAGATTAATATTCTCATTATGTTTAGATACAAACACAGATAAAGCTGTACAATGTCATTTATTCAGTGAGTAAATGTCCAGAGAGTTGCATAAACCTTTATTATAAGTAACAAGTATTTAATTAAAACTTGCATTGCATGACCTCCAACTGGACCTCGGCCGTTGATTGGCAGAATTCTGAAGCGTATTTTTGGAGGATTTCATTGACACCTCCCTACATGCCCACAAGTTTGGTAACAGTACCTTCACATCACGCATTCAGTTGTTTCTAACAATAAGCACGTTAATTTCTAGTATGTCATCGTAAAATGCCGCGATTATATCAACTTGACCTATTTGTGCAGTAATGTAACCTGTCCTTATTGCAATGCAACGTCATTTGCATTTTACTTCAGAAATGTAGTATGCAATTAAACTATTCACATTTGTGGAAATTCCCGTAACCTCATCACGTTTCCTCGTATGTGTAAGAATACCCAGCCATTACAGCAACCAGCGGTATTGAATGATTACCAAATACTCTACTCTACTACAGCATAAGCAATATATTCTCGAAAGCTCTAACTATTCTGATTGATAAAGGCTGAATAAACTGCAGCCACAGAATGACCTTTACGTAGACGTAACAATGTTGATTTACCAGATTTACCACAGAGGCGAGACCGCTTTGAGGTTGCTTAAGCCACGTGAGTAAAAAAAAATGAAACCAACAACCGGGATGTGCAGGGAGCGGCACAGATGCAAAGTAGGTTATTGTCAGGTCAGTAGGTCGCTCTAACCTAGCCCGCGCTAACCGCATCTCTGTACGCCAATTTGCATTAAGTAATAAATCCAACCGCATGCTATGCAAAATGTTCTGTATCGCTTTTATAAAACCGTAACTAAGTAAATAAACATACTACTGTGACGAAACTGTGACAATCGATATTAAAGTCGGTTGCATATGTTAATCTTATATTATGCCGATGACTCTACAATGATGGGTTTGTCTTTATTCAACATACATGCGTCACGATAGTTTAAAAAACAAACAGGGTGAAACAAACAAATATAGTGCAGAGAAGCAATCATGCGACTCGTGAATAACGCAGCACGGAACGATTCCTCGCAGTAAGCCGTGAACGGCATAAGACCCAACTATTTATAACAGAGTATTTATAAACAGAAGAGGGTTTAAAATAACACGGCTCTTTTTTGCCAAAACAACTATTTAACATCGCTTTACGACGTACTTATTCTAAACTCTGCAATTGAAAATAGCAACATTATCAAATAAATTCATCATGAGTGTTGTTCATTTCATAGGTGCAGGTGAATGAAAGCAAGCCAGCCAAACGCTTGAATCATCGTTTTCATTCAATGAAAACTATTTCTGCTATGTTAGCTACGGACCGTAAGGAAAGCGAAATAGGATTAAAATAAAAATTCATTACAAATACACTTTTCTCAAAAATACTTATAACAAAAATAAGATTTTCTAAGAGAAGATTGGTTTTAGATTGACTCACTACTTTATGTAAAATTTATAACACAATTCCAAGTTCACAAACGAAAATTCGAATAATTTTTTAATAATTATGATAGAAAACAATAATTTGTATTATACTAATTATTTTACCTTGAGCTTGACCCAATGACTGCGGCCAAATACCAAAAGCTATTAGCGAACAAGTAATTATGAAGGGAAGTGACGTGACAGGTAGCAACTAAAGTCGTTACTAGTAATTATTTAGGTATAAACTGAACACACTCCCTACTCATGAATTAGTTTGAATAGACTCGCGTGGGGTAAAACTAATCGATACAACACTGCATAGTGTTGGTAAGTTAGTAGACTATAAATAACAGTCACATGGACTGGCATGCGGTTGGACTGCCACGCCAAGATTCTCGGAATGCTACGTCTCAACGAACCAATTACCGAATAGAAGAAAATTGTCCACACAATTAATGCGAACAAGAAGATGATTCAATAGATATAACAAAGCGACTGCGTACTTTACCAAGTGCAGAAACTCCATTAATTGATACAATTTGCCTAGTTCTTTAATTGAAACTATTCCGTGATATAAATATGATTTTTTGAGATATCCGGGACGGAACGAACAAATTATGCTCCTGTTAGTAAGCGACACACCTTCCCGCAACAGTAGCGGTGCCACTTGGAGCTGTAAATCGCAAAGATCTAAGGGACACTGCTACTGAGCCTGTCACCCTGAGACATAAGTTGACAAATCCCTTGTGCCTGTAATTTCACCAGCACCCTTCAAAACCGATACGAAGCAATGCTCACATCGTTGCTCAGCGGCAGAATAGGTAAAAAGTAAGATGTTTACTAGTAAATTAAATCGATAAAAGAACGTACAAATCATCAACACCAGGAAATAAATGGAATACGTAATTATGGTGTCTACAATTTCGAAAGCAAAGCGGAACGAAGCAGAAGGTTGCATTAGCAACGGAAAATTCCATTATGCTTTCTAGCGGCACAACTGCCGCGGTACGCAGAGTGTTGCTTGCGACACGCGGGTTGTGCGCAGGGGCCTCGTCGGCAGGCGGCACAGATTGCATCGAAACTTTCACTGTGTATACATACGGACGAATGCAATGTACAGACACCAACAACGGTGACCTTCCACTTTCAACATACGTAAACAACTTAAAAAGGCTTTTGGACGTCTTCACATACAGAACCGGAGATAGACGGCGGCGCCGCAGCCAACGTTATCGTGGGAAATTAGCGAAGCGACCTAGTAAATAATTTCTAAGTTAAGTAATTTCTAGTGCTTGAAATCATACTTAAGTCCTGACTTGAGCATTGAGTGGAGTTCTGGAATACGACCCTAAGACAGGAAAGGTTGAGCGATATGACGAATTCAATGAATATTTATGACTCTACGAACCTGTTACACATGCTTGTCGAGACCATATTATTTGACTTTACATGGAATAATTACTAGCAAGTTCTGTAATAAACTAATAACTTATAAGTTAACATCGTAGGTGTATCATTAAATAAGGTTATTTAAGTGCCAAACTTTGCCAACACTGAGAGTTTGATTAGCATATTAACGAAAATGAAAACACAACTACCCAAGAAATCATCTGCACTTTTTCATGATCTCAGTACAGAGTACTAAAAAAACCGCCCTCAAAAGTGCGTCGAATTACATCTATTTGCCAAGTTTTATTAAAATCGGTTACCGGAAAGTGCGCAAACCCGGATTCATCCCCTAGTTCGTCACTATACGGAACTTGACACAGGAGATAGTAAAAACCGGTTCTCACTACTCAAAGTATATTGAGAGAGAAAAACGCCATGAATTGGAGAATAGCAAACTCAACCATTAAAATAATTACTCCTTATAATAGAATTTAGGCGCTATTTATAAAAATGAACCTTCATGCGTGAACAGCCATCCTTAGTGGCCGAGGATTTTCTTCAAAATTAAATGGGACCACTATGGAGGTACCTATTTTTCAACAAAGAAAGAATCATCGAAATCGGTTCACAAATAGCGGAGTTATCGCGTAACATACATGCAAAAAAAAACATACAGTCGAATTGAAAACCTCCTCCTTTTTTTTAAGTCGGTTAAAAATATACCGTATTTTCAAGAGAATACTAATGGACAAGCTGTCAATTGTCTATGTATATAAGGTGTTAAGGTGTTATACTTACGTTTGAAATTTTATCGTCAATGTTACTCACAATGCGGAACAAGTTTTCTTAAATAACCACATCGAAACAGCAAAATAGTTTTTCTTCCTTGTATACAAAATACAACCAGCTGTGCGGAAAATTTGTACAGAAATTTTAAAATTTTAATTGAGAATAGGTAGGTGTGTTCCTTAGACATTTGACAGTAGTTCAGTATTCCGGGTAAAGCCAAGCTATGATATTTCACATGTATTTTTTTAACATGCTGTAAACAAAATGTTAAAAAATATACTTAGATATTTGGGAACCTGTACTTAGACAGGTGACAATTCGTTTTAATGAAAAACCAGCAAGTGTGAGTTGAATTTACGCATGGAGAGAGGATATTACACTTTGCGTAATGTGACATACAATAACTTTTGATCTAGATTTTTAATATAGTTGTTTTAGAAAAAAATACCAGATTCACTTTCCAAAAACTAAAAAAAAAAAAAAAAGGTTATTCGGCAATAACATGAAATACTTAGGATTACAAAACTTTAAAATAAATTCAGATTTCGATCCCCCATTAATATATAGATTGCATATCAGATGTAAACGATAAAATTAAATAAGTTGTAACAGTATTAAAGCAACCATAAGCATATTATCTAATAAAATCTGTAAAGATGGAAGACGATGTGCACAGTCCCCCTTCCAATATGATACTGTTATTATAGCACAGATAATTAAAAAAGATATCGAAACGAAATATAATGAAAATGAGTTTCTATCAGTAAAATTACGTTTACTCTAAAGAAAAATAATAAAAAAGAAAAACCAAGCTAACGGCGAACATAACATTGGTATATTAATTTTCACGTGCCCGTTACACAAACAAAAACAGAAAAAATCTAGATGTTTGCACGCTTGTAATAGAATCGGTATACGAACGTAGAAGCAAAATACGCAAGTAAAACAATTATAAGTAAGACAGTCAAGTGTCAATAAAGTCAATAAAGAGAATGATATATCTCATTAGTATTAACAATGAATGAGAACTTAAACGTGGTATTCTGGGATTCTACCATATCATAAAATGACGTCAGAAAATAGCTATGAATACGTAATTCTCGTAAACACGCATCGACAGCGACACCGACGATGACAAATATGTTGGTTTGATGAAGAAATCATTGAATTTTAAATTAAGAAATAAATTAAAAAGTAAAATATGTTACGGAGGTCGTGTAGCGAATACAACTGATCGGGGAAAACACACTATGGAGATAAGCGGTTATAGAGCGCTTGCTTTCAACGTATGTTAGTGACGTGGAGTCGCTGGTCGCGACTGCACGGCGACTACTGTGGCGGCCCACTAATGCGGATATACTGCTGCACGAATATAGCACGATCACGATGCACTCCAAATGCGAACTTACCACACTCTTCATTTCAGCCGAAAAACGTCGACTGCTGGACGTACCACATCGCTAGCAATTAAATCATAATAAAAAGTACATTAAAATAGATCAGTACAGTTAGTTCAGATTTATTTCAAGCACACACCTACTTCGTGGTGAAATCTACAATTTTACAATGTGGTTTAAATGCAGAGAGAAAATGTGATACGAATCCTGTTCATTTATATAGCAATAACAGCTGTAGCCAAGGTTGAACATCTATAAAGGTTACTTTTGCTAGAACGGGTAAATGAACATAATATTTTAAAGAAATATATTTATAAAACTCACTTGACAATAAACTTCCTTGAGCCCGCTCGTGGTGAAATCCGAAATTGGAACACGTTAGCGATGAAAATGTCTGATCTACTACAGGCACAACCACTACAAACTGACACAATATTACTCAACACAGGAACCGAACTAGGTAGAGCGCCGAACGATGTAACACACTTTAAAATCGACCGTAGATCTTTCACGTCCACAGAAGAATAATACATGGGCAATTCAAAACAGGTTTTCTGTCGAAGCTTAGGCTTTTACAAAAAAATTAACGCAAAAATAAAAGTAAGCGACACGATAGCACGGAACACTTGCTTCCCTTGGCGTTGCGCACTGGTGACTGAGGCAAACGATTACGCGCGTTGCCGCGAACCACGAATCAATGTTGCGCAGCTCATGAGTGTGTGCCGCGTCTGAATATGCCGGCTGTGCACACATGCGCACCGAGGGATACCTCGCCACCTCGCCGGAGCGGGGGGCAGTATTGTTTCGACTGGAGCTCTGCTTGACGTACCTGTCAGAGCACTACCCGATAATGAACCTCAAGATGACACCATTATTCTCAAATTACTCTATAATCCTAAATAATGCCTATAAATGAATAACCGTTCATTGTCTTCCAAACATATCTTAGCACAAGCAGTGCATGCATCGACTGTGTTCGTTGCTCTGCAACAAAGGCAGTTGTTGCTCTTGAAGCCAAATGGCAACAATTAAGTACCTAATTGTACTATTGTAACGCAACAACAGCGTCCATTGTACTGCTCACTAAGAACAAACACAAATTAAAATTAATGTCAACCACGAAAACGAAGATAATGATGACTTTTAGAAGTAACAAGCAAATGCGGTTAGATATGCAAGGGAAAACGCTATTTCGTATGTTTATATTAAATATCATATTTGCATTAAATAGATAGAGCTCTATTACTCTCGTATAATGCAAAATAACTCGAGTGTAGAGCACCCATTATTAGAATAACAAATATTTCATCAGTAAAAGACATCTTGGACTGCTGCGGCGATATAAATTTCAAAGGAGAATAATAATAGAAAAACAAAACACCTTTGTTCATGCGCACACAAAACACTTCAAAGTGGAAAATTAACACGACGATTTCTATTAAATGAAACTAAACAGCACAATTGAAATCATATGTATACCGTGTAGTTATTAGAAATACAAACTTGAACATTTCAGAAGAGACGGTGTATTTCACGTGCTACCTATTTCAGTGTTAGTCATGGAACAAATGAAAAAAGTTCTTGCAACTTAAACACTGAAAACACTTTAAGAGAAAAAATTAAAGAATAAACCTGTAGTGTAAATGATATAATAAGACGTATCGACAGAAAAAATTGACAACGATGACGTTATTTGTTTTCTTTATCACTGAGGCGTTAGTGTTGTTGTTACGCAAAACTAAAATAATTAGTATAATTATTTGGCTTTCAAATAAAGGTTTTTGAAATGTACCCAACCATGTTTAAAATATTATTATTCGTATCTTCTGAATAAACATGAAACATTGCCTAAATTATACAAAACAAGAAATGTAATGTAAAGAATATGGTGTGCTATCAGTTGCATATGTTTTTGTGATATTTTGTCAATAAGGAAAACATAACAATTGAATTTAAAATTTTTACGAGCAAAAAATTAAAGGAAATGTGCACTTCAATCACCAAGTTTAATAGTTAAGTAAAATAGTTTACTAACTCCGATCCGATAAAAGGTCAAATAAGCGTTTACAAGATGTCCATTTAAGTAGTAAGTAATTGCTAAAATCAAATAGGATTAAATATGCCAAGTACCCATTTATCCATTTAACGACAACTCAGCCCTGGTAACTTCGCCTTGTTAACAATGCCAAGACGTTGATCCAGCTGTTCTGCTGTTTTAACCTAAATAATACACGAATATCATTGATACAAAAGATCCAAAGTTATTTAGACAGTCGCGCACTTCATCATCAAAGAACGACCTTAACAAACTTACACTAAATGAACGTAGAAATTGTTTTTCAATTCAAAATTCGTCAATAAGCACATTCAAAAATAGTTCCAATTTATCCGTTTAATAAAACATTACTGTCTGACTCATTTCTTCACAACTTTATTTTTTACGGAATGAGTCTTAATGTCAAAAAAATTGATAACGTTTTCGAAACCCTAGTGAAATCAAAATATTCGCGAAGTTTTCTAGAAACATTGTTTTTGACTCGAGGAAATCGGAATATTATAGAGCTTTGCCGCTTGAAGAATAGATTCGGGGAAAACAGCGATGTTTAGTGTGAAAAGTTTTTATTAATAAATCTACAAACTTCAAAAACCAGGATATTTATATTGCAAAACGCTTTCTCCGTTACATGATTTCGATTTCTCTACTATACGTAAAGCAAGCAAAACGTTATGCCTACTTAATTAAATAAAATTATGTAAAAAGGATGTCATGAAACTCGTCATAGGGAATCTAGCCGCATGGGGGAAAATCTAATTGTCGTAAGGAAAGATATTCAATAAGCGCAAGTCACTGGAATTGTAAAGTTATGGCTAATTCATACTTTGGATTACAGTATAATAGGATTGTAAGTACCGCAATAGACTATATTAAGCATGCAATTTTTATTAGCAGTAGGTTTAGAGTAAGTGAATTCGCATTAAACCCCTAAATAACAGAAATAATTGTACAAGCGAAACAAATAAAATAATACCGCTTCAAGAAAAAGATGAAATGTACGCACCTCCTTACGTCGCCTGGCGATGGAAGCAGCGGCGAGAACAACGTCCGTGTTGGTGACACCCGACAGGGACGAGCGGTGTGCGTCTGGAACCAACATTGTATAATGTCTAAGTTGCCTTGCACTGCACTGTTATAATAAAGCCAGGTCCAGGACGAGCAGGATAACACTGAATCGCGCCTTCTCGCTCAAATTATTGTGACGTCATTTTAATAATCCGGATATATTTAGAGAGCCGTGCTATGAAGCTTTGCACATCACATTATTGACATGTTACGACAGTGATGAATGATCATTACTCATAGGTAAGGTTTTCTCTATAATAGTCCCTTACGTAACCCATAAAATACAATTTCGATGAAAATTTATTTTTTACATCACAAAATAAAATATCATTAGAGCTATGCACATCACATTTTCCCGTCCATTTGTGCTCAAGGAGGACAAATGTCTGTAGGTAAGTGATCTATAAGATTTCAACTTATGGTTGCAATATCGATATAATGACATAGAACTGAATAAACAAAAAGGGTATGGAGAATCACAGGGCTTAAAACCGGGTCAGAAACCGGTAACTGTGATCTACAACCTATTAGACACAGTTTCAAAAAGGTGTTCAACTACCATGAGTTTAAATAAACCAAGTACAACTCAGATGCTCGCAGTAAGCATTGCTCCATTTTCTGACACTCACTCTCAGTTATTATACTTCATTTAGACAGAGAACAAAACTTGTGAACCGGTCAAAATACCGATAACCACCGGCTAAACCATAAGAATTTAATTCGGGGTAATGACCCGAACTAAACTCGTAAATGGACTTCAAACGGGTTCAAATATTTAACTGATTTTTGAGCCTTCGTTGATTGTACATTGGGATTTAAAATATAGTTACTACATTGATAAATTAAGAAATAAAGACCCAGACATTCTGTCCTTAGCCTAACTTGTTAGATTAGATAAGAATTTCCACTTTTGCACGTTTTAAAACCAAATGGGATTAAATTGTGATTGTGCTGATTGATCACTTGAAACAACAAAATTTGCCATACTACAATCTGCTAATGCATTATATGCAACTTAATACCTTTATAAGAAATGCAAAGTATCAGATACAAACTTCATACGTTGTTGTAATATCCTCCAATTATAAAATATAATGCATTGTTATTAATAAATTTTAGGAAAAATGTACTCTTGTAAATTATTGACCAGCTGAGATATAATTATGATATAAAAGGATATAAAACATTACTTGCACTTCGAAGGATTTTATGGGCTAATATGTAATCGTAAATGTGAACACTAAATATTAGCGTTAGCAATTCAGAGCTTAGTTTTTATTAGGGTTATCACATGTAACTTTAACTTTTATTGAAAAAAGTGATGTTCTTTAAAAACAGGTATAATGACTTCCAGGTAATAAAAGAAGGATAAAAAATAACACATTAAAAGATAAGAGTACGTATAAATTTAAACAGCTGTAGTTTTTACACACAACTTATTATGATAAGTTCAATCAAAATAATTTGAAAATTCTATTAATTTCATAGCATACATACATTATTAACTTAACTGCCTCCGTGGCCGAACGGTTACCATGTCGGACTGCCACGCAGAGGTCCCAGGTTCGACTGCCACGCAGAGGTCCCAGGTTCGATTCCCGGGCCGAGAGAAATAGTTGTATGGCCTACAATTATTTCTCTCGTGAGTTTGGGTGTAATTTGTGGTTGTCTATGTGTGTGTCCATGGCACCCGCGACACAGGGTTTCCCTAGTGCGGGGCTAAGTTGAGTGTGTGCGTTATTTATTATTTATTATTATTATTATTTATTTATTATTTTCGCAACCCTAGTTGCGCTGAACTAATATTGAGCGACTGTAAATTCTTCCCTCGTATGAGTATATAACGCTAGTATTTCACAATGGGCTTATTGACTTTGCTCAGATTACAGTTTATCTAATAACATAACAGTGGTACACTGCGCGATAACATCGGAATCAGGTTAACAAGGTAAATTTTCCTCCAAAAATCCAAGAGATGGTAATATTAAATACACAAACATATACAGATTTTGAATGCTATTAATCTTTTCAATTATATTAAATGAATACAAATTAATGTCAAGGATCTAATTCATTAATCACTCAGGCAGTATCTTATAAATGCCATTTCAATTTCTTCAATTAATAAAACGAAATATAAAAACAATACACTCACTCAAAACTCTATTTCAAATACAGAAAATCGTACACTAAAAATATGTATGTACACTCATTGAACATACCTAAATGTACGATAACAGTCAAAACCCATTAACCTTCACCTTATCGTTGGAAATCCAAATATAGCTCGCGTGCTAAGTATCACTTTGGTTTTATCAAGTGACATCACACCACAAATCATTTAAATGTGTAAAATATTGGTAGAAAACCAAAAACGCTAAGGTTCAATTAGATAGGGCCATTTCTAAAGTGGTCCTGGTCTAGATGTTTTGGGTAATGCCCCGGAGTGAATTCCGTTGCTCTGGTCCTCATGGAATTCCCTGCTTTGAGATCAGGTAATTGTTGTGGTTGTCACATGATTACATTAT